AGAAGGGCGTCTTGGCCCGGTCTGTCCTACAACAGTCGACCTCAAGGCAGCCGGGTCGTAAAAAATCACGCCATGCCAAAGATCACAACACGTGAGATGGCTAGGTGCCGTGAGCAAAGCTATATTGGTCACGAATGAATTGCATGGATAGCATGACGCGTGCCTCATGCGCCATGTTATCTGCCTTATGCGCCATCTTATCTGCCGTTAGCCATCATGATGACGTCACATAATCGTGTAAGGTCAGTGGATCACTGTGAAAACGACGCGTTGTTTGAGCCGGCGTTAAATCACAAAGAAAACAAGCGCTCAGGCTCAGGGTCCAGCCATGTCCGACCCCACGGACTGTATCGCAATATACAGCTCTCCGCACGGTAGCTGAAAACGCAAACAATGACATGGCACCGGCCTCGAAATATGTACATCGTCCCCTCTCGGTCGAAATGGCGAGCGACAGACTGTTGAAAGGCCACGGCTTCCGATTGAAAAAAAAAAACATTTGAAATTGATGTCCCATTCGGTCCGTCAAGATAAGGCGGGCGGCCCTCATTCTATATGGCAGAGTCAATCCAAAGCGCAGGGCTGATGCAGGTGGGGAACCGGCTGCAATGCTACCAAAGAGTTGGCCGGAGGTCAAGAGTTCCGTCACCACGACCACCAGCAAGAAAGGATAAGGGGAAATAATAATGAATCACCATGCGCAACAGAGCACGCTACGTGCCACCAACTGCCACAGGAGTTCCTCTTGAATGGGGCCCGAGGGTGCAGGTCCTGGGCAGGGATCCGCAGGACGTATAGAAGGAGGGGCCTGACTAACCTCACATCTGCGTGTCATCAGCCAGAGCCAGCCTATCCCTGGCGTCTGGCATGGCCGCGGCAGAGGGGTCAGACAGAGAGGAGCCGCCTGTTAGTCGGGCAGAGTGTTAGGGTCACCACCTCATCACCCACCACACGTCCGTCGGCACAAAAGCGACAAAAACAGCGGGTTCCGGCCACGCTTGACGCGGACACACAAACGTGTGCATCAGAAAGCGTTCGACCTCATTCATAATTAAGAACTGCTGCAGGAAGCTCAGCTGGCCGTAGCTAGCAAAATCATTAATCACTCCGAGAGTGCACAAAAGTGAAATATTAATTTTTAGTTGTCAGAACCCTCCAAAAAGCCAGAGACATTTTTAGGTATAAACCAAGGCTGTTCGGCCTCACTTCACTGTATTAGCTATATTCAGCCCGCCTCAACGAAAGATGTGAATAAGTCATTTTGGAAGAGCTAGAATGCATCGCTTTTGGCTTTGACGTAAATTTATCTTTGGCCCGAATTGTAGTTTTTGAAAGTTCGATGTCCGCGTGACCATTCATGTCTTACGATGAAGTAATGATTTCAGTGTAATGAGACTTCAACATGTCAGCCGCTTCCGTATCCACACCGAGTTCGCGCACTTCAAACGCAAGGGGTCCACTCACAGATATCAAGTGTCAAATCACATCTTTTAGTTCGAAATGCACTGGAGAAGCAGTATTATAAGTATCAACAAGTACAACGTAAGTATATCATAATTTTACAAGAAATCCGTATTACATATTTCTGGGACAAAAATACTTAAGTTATGGAAGTAGCTTTCATAGAAGATCACTTGCCCGGGTTCCTAACAGTTATCATTAGTCGATGCATGATCACAAAATTGAAGAACTATCCCCAGATCTTTAAAAAAGAGTCCTATAACTAATGTACGTTTTTAACTGCATTAATCACCGTCATAGAGCAACCAACGACCGTCATGTTAGAAGATTGGGATCGAATGTCACTGAACACGTACATTTTTATTTTTTCTAACAGCAATGTGGGCTGTTAAGCGCGACTTACTTGTTTCGCGTATGAATGAACTCCGCTACAGAAGGTAGCTGAGGTGGGAAGTTTCCCTACCTTTTGCCGACTTGAGCATGGCACCTAAAATTTATGCTTTAGTGCAGTGCTTGACGTTGGTGTGCACGAAAAAAGACTTCTGAGACACCCCATAAAACCCAAATAACCCCGTAATCTTTTCATCCGTGGAGCCTGTATGAGGGAAGGGACCGAGTAGCAGTGAACTTGGGAAAATACACGCATAAAATATGGCCATTGAAAACAGCTTTTCCCCTTGGACTCATGACGTTAGACCTTGCGAAAGCGAATGCGACCAATCAATTATATCTAGTGATGGATGCAAGAGACCATCGCACTTGAAACTGCTAAAACTCTCGCACGGCCCCGTCCCGCAGCTAGTGCAGATCTTCACTTACGAAGCTTCTTGAGCGAAGCGCTAGTGCCAGTTTTCTGCGTCAGCCTGGTGCTGCCGCCGCAGCTCCTGATGCTCCCTGGGGACAGCCAGAGGTCGTGTCAGATCGCGTACGGCAACGGGACCGACGCGCTTCCTGTCCGGGTTCAGCCGAGGGGCAGGCATCTGCGTTTGTAGCATTGATGGTCTGCAGTTGATAACTTGCCACCGATAGCACTACAAGGTACTACACCTAACGTACAGACGTCAATGCGTCAATGCGTCATTGGGAGCCATTGCACGGTCGTCGCAGTGGACTCCAGTCTTTGCGTCGTCCTCGTTTCGTCTGACGAGTCGTGGAGCATTTGGAAACGGTCGCGGAACGGACTGTGGTATCGGAAGCCATGTGGTGTCAGTCATACTCACGCCGCTCCGCGTCTGTGTGGCGGCAGAGCCCTGTCATGTCTGCACACCCCGTGTCGTCCTGAGTGTCACTCAGCCGGAGATGTCGGAACCCGGCCGAGGGGCAGTCTAACCGAGGTCAGGGGTGCAGTGAACGTCTCTGTGAAAACCACCTCCTTGCCGTCAGTCCACTCGTCAGTCAGAAAGTGAAAGAAGGGCAACATCGAGGGAGAAAGCGGTGAGAGAAAGATAAAAATGCAGAAACAGTCGAGAGACACGTTTAGAGAGGATGGAAACACATACATACATACATTACAACGTGCGTTCAGGCAAAAACATACACGTTAAGTGTCAGATGGATGGATAGATGAGCAGATGGACAGCCTGAAATATGAAGATAAATACATATACATATGCATGCATAGATACAACACTAGGGGAGAAAACAGCGTGAGCAAGGAATTTGATGCACGGTATATGATTGATCGATTAAAACCATTTGATACGACGCAACGTTCTCCAAGACTGTCTATTCGTGGCATTGTCCTCTTCGTACTACCCTTCGAAGAACCTCCCGCAACCATCTTTAATACCTGGGACCGTGCCTGGGCAGATACATTTGCGACTGCATTGAGGGGCTGACATGCCACCGCACGGCGCGCATGCAAAATGCCTCACCCGTCTTCACCGGACAATGTGTGGATGCAAAACGGCCCACTGAGCCTAAACAAGAAAACAAAGCGAACTACCGAGCAGTAAAGGGCAATGTTCTGCTGCAGGCGAAATAGACGCCGTTGAATGCTAGATTGAGCTGTGACCGCTACATACAGGACTTGCACTTCCGTTGTTACTTGTTGGAGTGACGATGGATGTCGTGAGTAACATTATTTTTCCATATTCGTGGCGGAAGTGTACTTTGTCAGGAGAAATGAGGTCATCCAGCAAACGGGCACGACAATCAAGACAGATTCGACTGACTGTCGCACTCGCATTCTCGGCTCTCAGCAAAACGGGTGAAGAAGGCGGTGGCCGCACGGGCGAGACTCAGTATTTCGTGGCCGTTTGGAGGGTTGGAAGCCCCCTTTCAAGTTCTGGCAACTTTTGAACTTCAAAGAGCAGGCCTACCAAATGGGCCTTATCTGAAAGCTGATTCATTTGATACAGCCGGAGCGATTTGTTCTCAAATCAGGTCGAGTCGTTGAATCGTGACGCCCCCTGTGAAGGCAAGCACGGCGACTTGTACCCCAGCGTGGTGTCCCTACTAGGGGGACTTTCTGCCATTCAGAGTCAGTCACTTGATCTCCTGTCACGTCTGGTCAGCTTCAGCAGTCACGTACATCACATGAGCTGTTTCGCGACCACGTCTGTCTTTTCGCTAAACTTCTGGTGAACATTCCTCTCCGCAAATGGACCATCTCTGCTCAAAAGCGGCACCCAAGTGTCGCATTCGTGTTACTGTAGACCAAGTGTAGCTGTTACTAGAACGGTACCAATAACCACCATTTGCGCTTTGGGACAATGCTCATTACGCTGCTGGCGCTGGTACGGTCGAAGAGAGGGGAGTAACCGACGTGAAAATAACGGCTTTGTTTGTGATGTAAGCTTTTAAGAAAAAGGGACCGAAAACGGTTAAGTTGAAACACAATTTGTAATTTATGGATTAATATGCCGTTGCTTATGCATAGGTGACCAGGATAGCCCACCGTTATACACTGCGGTACATCGAGCAGTACCGTCACACACTATCGAACCGCTAACGCCCATTTTAGGGACTGAAAGCTGTGAAGCCGCGGCATTCAGTAAGTGAAACAAAGTATAAAGTGAAAGCCATAGCGTGCCGAAAAGGGCGAGGAAATTATCCAGAAGAAGCGAGAGTCAATGAGTCCATGGAGAGATACTGAAATTAGCGAGAGAAGCAAAGCGGAAAACGCTGACGGGGAGAGAGAGGGAGAGAGAGAGGAGAGGAGAGAGAGAGGAGAGAGAGAGAGAAGAGAGGAGAGAGAGAGAGAGAGAGGAGAGAGGAGAGAGAGAGAGGAGAGAGAGAGAGAGAGGAGAGAGAGAAGGAGAGAGAGAGAGAGAGAGAGAGAGAGAGAGAGAGAGAGAGAGGGAGAGAGAAGAGAGAGAGAGAGAGAGGGAAGAGCGAGAGAGAGAGGGAGAGAGAGGGAGAGAGGGAGAGGGAGAGCGAGAGAGAGCAAGGGAGAGAGAGGAGAGAGAGAGAGAGGGAGCGAGAGAGAGGAGAGAGAGGGGAGAGGAGAGGGAGAGTGAGAGAGAGCGAGAGAGAGAGAGATGAGAGAGGAGGGGAGAGCGAGAGAGAGAGAGAGAGCATGCCCACGCGGCCGTGGTGTCACCTGGCGCGGCGGCGTGCCGGGAGGACAGTGATGCGGATTGGACGCTGATCCGACCCGACCGCAGCCGAACCACCAGACGGTGAGTGGAGGTGGCGTTGTGCCAGCGATCACCTACACCAGCTGGCTGGTGTCAGTGACATTTGACACCAGGACCAGACTAAGTGGTAGATTCGCGTCCAGCTCGTGCACGCGTGTTATAAGCTCCGATGAGTGTAAGCACGTACCAAGCCCGTCAGTGCACCGATAGCCAGTTTCGTAAAGCGAAGCTACAAGCTAAGTTTTTAGGCATCGCCGTGTAACCACATGGGCTTAATTTTAGCATGTGGCTTAAGGTTGAAATTAAGTGAAAGGTTATATCTGAGGGGCATAATCGAATGGGAAGAGTCGGTGAACTGTGCTCGGATGGGTGCGCTTTCAATGGCGGGTAAGTCGTAGATTCATGTTATGAAACTGGCTTGAGATAGTGCCCGCACCTGGTAGAGCGTGCCTGGTGAAGTCAAGACGGTGCAAGCGCGGGGCCCCAGCTCATCCCCCCCATCAGCACAGTGTCCCATAGAACGTGCCTGGCGGGGTCAAGACGGTGCTAGCGCGGGCCCAGCTTATCACCCCATCAGCACAGTGTCCCATAGAGCGTGCCTGGTGGGGTCAAGACGGTGCTAGCACGGGCCCAGCTTATCACCCCATCAGCACAGTGTCCCATAGATCGTGCCTGGCGGGGTCAAGACGGTGCTAGCGCGGGCCCAGCTCAGCACCCCATCAGCACAGTGTCCCATAGGGCGTGCCTGGTGGGGTCAAGACGGTGCTAGCGCGGGCCCAGCTCAGCACCCCATCAGCACAGTGTCCCATAGGGCGTGCCTGGTGGGGTCAAGACGGTGCTAGCGCGGGCCCAGCTCAGCACCCCATCAGCGCAGTGTCCCATAGAGCGTGCCTGGTGGGGTCAAGACGGTGCTAGCGCGGGCCCCAGCTCAGCACCCCATCAGCACAGTGTCCCATAGAGCGTGCCTGGTGGGGTCAAAGACGGTGCTAGCACGGGCCCAGCTCATCCCCCCATCAGCACAGTGTCCCATAGATCGTGCCTGGTGGGGTCAAGACGGTGCAAGCGCGGGCCCAGCTCATCCCCCCATCAGCACAGTGTCCCATAGAACGTGCCTGGTGGGGTCAAGGACGGTGCTAGCACGGGCCCAGCTTAGCACCCCATCAGCACAGTGTCCCATAGGGCGTGCCTGGTGGGGTCAAGACGGTGCTAGCGCGGGCCCAGCTCAGCACCCCATCAGGACCGTGTCCCATAGAGCGTGGCGCTTTGAGCTCAGGGCGGGATCAGCACGGGCCCATCTCACCAGGGCTTATTCGCATCCTACAGAGCGTGCATGGCGAGGCCAGGGCTGTGTCAACAAGTACCCACCTCACCCAATCGCCAGAGAACGGGGCCTAGGTCACGCGTGTTTAGCACGCTATGGAGTGCGGGCGACACATAGGACCGCGCTCGGTGATGTCACTACCAAAAGCTCAGCAGCCGTTAGTGTTTTTACGATTCATGCCACACCTAAAGCTATTAAACACAAAGATTATGTCTTGGTTCTTGACGCGAAAAAAGTATCGTCTTCCCCACTCGTCATTTAGTTTTGTATAGTACGCATCCTGTGGGTACGGCTGCGAGGGAACGCTCTCCTCAGAGGAGGAGCCTCCTTACACGCCAAAGGTCAGCCGTCACCTTCTGCTCCATCCAATCGCCGGATGGTGCCTGAGTAATTTGAAATGCACGTTATGGCCGGACCTCCTGACGTCCCAGCCTACGCCCACGAACTCCCACGGGGAGGAGACATCCTCGGCCAAAGGTATGACCTTCCAAAAAGAGACATGCACGCGGGCCACGTGCCCGCCACTCTGCTTCGACAGCCGACCACGGCCGGCCGGCGTCGGGCCGATCATTGGCATTTTCTCGAAACGGCAACGCGTGACGGCATGTTTCGACGGCCGTCACGTCATCCCCAACTGAGGGGGTCATTTGTGGGTCAGATTCCGTTGTAAGTATTCAAAAATAGTCGAAATGCTGTACATCCGGGATGATGCGCGCATAAGCTGTCTGGTCTATCGCGGCATAAAACTAGTGGGAGGGGGTGAGGGAGATCCAGTAAAGACAGGCAGGGCCACCTTTACTTGAGCTCACAGCGCACCCAGGCAGTCTGACCATGGAGCACAAAGGATGGGCCCAGCCCTGCAGCATGTGTAATAACTACGACCATCGATGTAGGGGAGACCAACTTGCCACGAAACTCCGCCTGAATGGTAACCCACCAACTTCGTACCAACATACCCCTCTGTGTCAGCATTCCAAGTTTTCAAATACGTGCGGCATTACTTCAAAATCCAAAAAGTTATCTGAAAGCTCATTACGATAGAGTTTATTGCAGATAGCCAATAGCACGGGCGGCGGCGTCGTTCCAGCGCGAGAGTACCTGTGTTGGCGAACTGAGAACGGCTCCGGCCGAGAAGTATGTTCTTGTAGCTCTCCCGGAACGAGGAACTCCGCGCGCCGTATGTGATGGGGTTCAGAGCTGAGTTCATGTACAGACACCAGTACGACTGTAAACAACGGGCTGAGTTCATGTACAGACACCCGTACGACTGTAAACAACGGGCTGAGTTCAGGTACAGACACCAGTACGACTGTAAACAACGGGCTGAGTTCAGGTACAGACACCAGTACGATTGTAAACAACGGGCTGAATTCAGGTACAGACACCAGTACGACTGTAAACAACGGGCTGAGTTCAGTTACAGACACCAGTAAGACTGCAAACAACGGGCTGAGTTCAGGTGCAGACACCAGTACGATTGTAAATAACGGGCTGAGTTCGGGTACAAACAGAACGATAGAAATACAGGAACGGTTCATGTACAGGTGCTTAACAACCTGGGCAGAGCTCAGGTACAGGTACCACACCGATACACTGGGCCGAGCTCGGGTACAGGCACTACAGCGGTACACCGAACCGAGCTCAGGTACGCGCACCGCATCGGTACGCTGTTCGGGTACAAGAGCCCTTACCACTAAAAAACAGGGTTGAGTAAGAGTTCACGCACGTGGAACAGTCATCAAGTCAACTGAAATGCCATGTGGAATTCAGGTACAAGCAGTAGCATCGCCGAAACGCTGTAGTGTAGACTACAAAACACTGTAGTGTACACTGCAGTACGGTGTTCCAGCACTGTAGTGTACAGTCCGTTACAAGCACGGGATTGACTGAGTTCAGACACGCATCAGGAAATTGAAACAAAAGGGCACCAAGCAAAGCAAATTCGTGTGGTGATATCCGTATGACTGTAGTGCAAGTCCGGCCTCATGCGCATGTGTCAGTTCGACTCATTTAGCGTACAGACTGTATATGACAGCTAATTATACGGCACGCACGTGTTCGTAACAGTTTGTGTACACGACAGCCCTGGTAGCCTTAGTGCTTTTTCAGACGGATGTTGTTTCGGTGTCGTATATCGAGAATGAACACACGCCAAGTAGAAACCAGCAATACATTTCCCGTCCGATCAGGTAAAATGGGACGTCGTATCTCAAGTCCTTTCGACGCGCAAGCCATGAAGGTCGGGGACCGACGGATCTCTCGTTCAGCTATGCGCCACCATCCCTGTGGAAAGGATCCCACATGGTTTGGAGGTTTTTCGTCGTTTCCATAACCGAGCCTTTCGCAATATCGGCACACCAGCCAAAGCGCGCCGCCAAACGTCACGCTATTCCCCCGGTACTCTCGGCTCCACGTGACGTGTGACTCATGTCCTGGTGGAGCGTACCACGCTACGTCCGACGTAACAGCGGACGTGACGCCGGCGTGACGCGGGACGTGCCGTGACCTCCGACAGGGGCGGGCCCCGAGCAGCGCGGCGACGCAGTGTCCGTCGTTATCGGCTGTCGGCGGCGGAGCAGATAACACACGCCGACAGCAAGCAGCTGCCGGCTGCTCACAGCTTCAGAGCCACATGATAAGCGCACGGACATGTCTGGTGATGACACTCCCAGGCTGGTCAGCTCCAGACCCGCGTGATAAGTGCACGGACATGTCTGGTGATGACACTCCCAGGCTGCTCAGCTCCAGACCCACGTGATAAGTGCACGGGACATGTCTGGTGATGGCACGCCCAGGCTGGTCAGCTCCAGACCCACGTGATAAGTGCACGGACATGTCTGGTGATGACACTCCCAGGCTGGTCAGCTCCAGACCCGCGTGATAAGTGCACGGACATGTCTGGTGATGACACTCCCAGGCTGCTCAGCTCCAGACCCACGTGATAAGTGCACGGGACATGTCTGGTGATGGCACGCCCAGGCTGGTCAGCTCCAGACCCACGTGATAAGTGCACGGACATGTCTGGTGATGACACTCCCAGGCTGGTCAGCTCCAGACCCACGTGATAAGTGCACGGACATGTCTGGTGATGGCACTCCCAGGCTGGCGCGCACCTTCCTGCCATGCTTGTTTCAGTTTTGCTGTTTGGTGCGGTAGGGTCCTTAACTCTCGCAGGCATGATGAGAGAGCAGCCCGGGAGAGGGAAAATGTAACCACGATTCCATGACTCAAGCCCAGAGGTAAAGTGCACCGTTACGAATGCTGACAGTTTTGTGAGGCTGGTGATAAACGATGGAAACGAAAAGAAACGCATGTCATGTACCTCTCGACACGATTACCACGATGTACTAATAGTGTCGGGTCGCAACGAACTGGTGATGTCTTGTTACCAGCACGAGATCATACGAACTACTGTACGAGATCATACGAACTACTACTGAACTGCGAGAGGGCTCGCTTATCCTGTATTACGGCTGCCGATGCCATTGTCGTGCCCGTGAAATAAACAGCTCAGAACTTACTGGCAAGTTATATGCCAGTAAGGCAAGTTAATGGCAAGTTAGATGCCTTTGGAATCCACCCTAATTAGTTGTTATTCTTGGTCGAGCTCGGCTTTCCTGAACGGCGAGCATTCTTGGCATTCCACTGATTAGCGCTCACGCATCGATTCGCGAATAACATCAACATGGCCGCTGCGGCTGATGAAATGGATAAGCTTGCAATTGGTTCACACTTGACTTGAGGGCGATCGCGTTCTTCACAAAATGTGTCAGTATTTTGTTTGTCACCGGATATCATTTACACATGATTGACAAAAATGCAGGTATTGACGCACGCTTAAATATTTCTAGCTTAATCCCCATGTTTTGGGCTTAAGGAGCTCGCTCGCACGGAGGTCATTTTCTAAGACGTCATTGGCCGCGTACCAATTGATAACTGGCTTCCCCGTCAGCCATACGGCGCTGAGGTGGTCGCGTGGTTTGAACATGATACATCAGCCTGCACTGCCGTTGGTTTTCAACAAACATGTCCCCGAGCCTAGTAAATGTGCGGCCATGCGCCGGTCCTGCTGCACGCAATGCCGCATCACGTGTCCCCTTCCTTTTTCAGTTCCATCGTGTCAGTCCGATGCTGCTGCGATCCCCGCTGGTGGAGCTCTGGGTCCGGCTCTGACTTATATTATGCAGAAATTGACAATTTAAGAAAGGTATGTTTTTTAGGCCTAACGAATGTGATGGAATGCTGCACGAGCATTATGCAAACAGTGTGCAGATTGGGTGCAAATCGTGGCCTTTGGGAAGCTGTTGGTATAGGTGTGGACATGGGTGGGGTACTAAGCCAATAACGAGCTGCGGCTTTAAATTCCACGCGTTATGTTGTAGGTTTCCGTAATTCATCCACATTATATGCCTAAATTTTCGAACGGTAAACGTGTGAATAACGGCAAATAAAACATATTTGGAGCAGGTAATCACAGGCACTGGCTGTAGAAAGATCTCAAGCACACGGTTAGATTGGGAAGGAAGAAAGTCTCCGTGAAAGTCTGGAGCTTGAGGTGCGAGCACACTTGCAGCCACTGTCGTTCCTACGTCAAATGTGGGGGACACAAAGCAAACATATAATGCGGTACCACGCTCAAGAGCTGCAGCGTTGGCGTGGCTGCGACACCAGCTGGGGAGAATACCCAGGCGCATGTGGATAAGTTCAGCTTTCGCATTTTAGTCCCCCGCATCGCTAGCAAAACCTTTCCATAGTTTCTGCTGCTCAGGGTCACAGCACAACGCTTCAGCGCCCCATGCTGAACTAGGCGCACGCCTGCTGATCCACACTTACTGTTGGTTCTACGAGGCCAGCCGTGGCAGGTGTGAGAACGCGGTCATCGAACGGACAGGGGGCTGCGCCAGATTTAAACATGCTGCACAGTGCTGTATCTAAGACCACGGTGACATGCCGTCCCCAAACGCATGTGCTTGCCTGAGGCCCGCGTAGTAGAGAGCCGACATGTCATTGTGACGAATGGACATGTGACTGTTAGGACGGCATACTTTGCGACGGTTTATATTCCGGGAGCAGTGCATACTATACACTGAGCAAAGACGGTCAACTGGCCGAGGGCGTTAGGAGACGGGTAAAATGATGGAAGGATTTTGCCATGATTTTGCATGACATGTCGCGATTGCATGCATTACGATGTCATGATTACATACATAAATATGTGCTTAATGCTCACTTAAAACACAAAACCATGTAATACCTAACAAACAGGAACTGAAGGTCCTTCTTCCTCGCGTAAACAAAAAAAGCCCAACAAGATCTTAGAGCCGAAATTCATAGCTACTCGGAAGATGAGGTCAGGATCTTCGCAGCCATCTCTCCTTGGTCTGTGCTGTGTCCTCTCTAATGCGTCGAGCTCAATTTTGAGCACTCAGACAGCAAAGACGCGAGCCGGCGCCGACAGCTATTCTCGCAGTGTTCCAGACTGCTGAATCCATATGCACAAGCAGTCAGTGTTGGTGGAGGCCGCATGCCATCAGCGATGCCCGAGGCCCCATCCAATTGGCGCTGCCCGAGTTCACCTTGTATAGTGCTATAGTTCCATTTTGCATCATACGCTGGCTTAGCAAGCTGTACGTTTCGTGTTATGTTAGTAGCTGATATAAAGACAATAGGATCATGTATTACAAAATTATCCCCCAAAACACGTTTGGTTGTTGTCAACACAATTCTGTTTTATCAAATCAAAACATGAAAACGGCCTGTCATAAAAACCCAGGCAATCATATACAAATATGTCACGCATGTCAACATAGTCGTCTTGTATCATACCAAACCGTTAAACAGGGTGAAGCGCGTTCCGGGAAATGGTTCCCTGCCTTATCGCAACCAGTCACTGTTATCCATTACAACACGCCATAAGTCCAATGTTGAATGTTGACTAGAACTGAATCGCCGGAGGCTCTAGACAGTAATATAATAATAATTTGGTGGGCAGTTCCCGTGGGCGGGCATAGTTCCCGAAATATCTTCCTTTGTGAATGGTGGCGAGGAGCCGTGTGGAGTTTTTTTTTTATTCATGTGGGCGCAATTTCCGGGGAGAAGACGTGTCAGAACAGAGGTGACGGCAGCCTTGCCTACCAAACAATAAGATCGGGAAAAAATTATTGGCCGGCTGTTGCATACGGCACGAGATATTTACAGCCTCGCATATGTAATGGCATTTCAGTTCTGCACAAAGGCTCACGAAAACCATTTAGCTGGCTGATTTAGTGGTCGCGCTTTATTGCCTGTGTGAGGTCGATGTGAAAGGCGGCTAGCACATCCATCTCAGGTCAGGACAGCCCGGGTCCCCGCGCGGTGCGGCGTGTATTGACGTGAACGAGACGCCGTCCGGGTTAAGCAGGCGCGGACGGCTCTGTCGTCAGCACGCTCGTCAACCTTGGCTCCCTCAAGCACACGCCGTCACCAGCAGCCTCGTCAAGCTTGAGTCACTCCACCACACGCGGTCGCCAGCAGTCTCGTCAAGCTTGACTGTGGCCAGCAGTTTCGTCAACCTTGACTGTTGCCAGCAGCCTCGTCAAGCTTGATTATGGCCAGCAGTTTCGTCAAGCTTGACTGTTGCCAGCAGCCTTGTCAAGCTTGACTCACTCCACCACACGCGGTCGCCAGCAGCCTTGTCAAGCTTGACTGTGGCCAGCAGTTTCGTCAAGCTTGGCTGTTGCCAGCAGCCTTGTCAAGCTTGACTCACTCCACTACACGCCGTTGCCAGCAGCCTCGTCAAGATTGACTCCCTCCGGAATACGCCGTCGTTAGCACGCTCGCCAAGCTTGACTCCCTCCAGCACGCACCGTCACTAGCAGCCTTGTCAAGCTTGACTCCCTCCAGCACACACCGTCGCCAGCACGCTTGTCAAGCTTGACTCCCTCCAGGTTACGATTAGGAGTTGAGGATCAGCTAGTGGCTTCAAAGCGAACTGGAAACGTTCGCTGGTGTAACCATCATTTTTTACCAACTTTGCTGTCATCGTTTTCGCTGACCTTCAATACTGTCATGATATGATGTTACTGCTAAAAAGTTCCAAGCTGGTAAATTTTGTCTTGAATAGTTTAGAACCTATTTCCACATGCTCCAAGCTTAAAAGGAACCTCTTCCAGCCGGCTTCAAGAGCTAAAAACACTATGGTTTCTAAACACAGTTTGAGATGTTCCCTCAGAGCGAGAGGTGCAGAGGCTTTCTGAGGTCCAAAATACGCGGCACACACCATGAACTGAATGTAGATCTGTTGGAATGTTATTGAGGTTCCAACACCCTATCAGTGAGCTACACCCTACAATACCCAGCCTTTCATGCCACCGGAAAAAAACTGAGTGCTTGCCAAAAATTAACCATCATTTCGGAGTTTGGAAGCACAACGCCTCACCTGATGCTTCGTTTTCAGCGCTTTAGCTTCAAAGCAAATGGAAAGGTTCTCTTCTGAGACGTTCCTTCGCCTTCCATGGGTGGAAGAACGCCTCAGATATTGCGGATACCCAAACCTTATACTCCATAATCAAGTTTTATATTGATACCTTACTTCATCTTTATAACGACGCTATAAAGTTCGCCGACACTACACAATTCTTGGCACTGGTTCCTGTTGCGTGCGTCTTTGGCACGAGTTCTGGCATTTTTCATAGGATCTGATCAAAGTACAGGCGATTAAGTACCATAATGACGTCAATAGGTGACCTCTGGTAACACGTTCTGCTCCAGAGTTTATTTCACACTTATGCATGCTTTATTCACAGACTCCATTTTTACGGTGAGATACCATTTTTGCAACAAGCTCGAAATAGTTCAAGCTTCATCTCATCTTAGATCCTAGGTCGTGACAAAATGACTGACACAATCGAGCGCTGAAAGTGCTTCGCGACTTCAGGACATGCATCATGTTCATTCACGACGATTTTGGACTACAGCTTGCCGACAAATTGCACGATGTGTCGCAAGCTTGTCGGTGATCAAATACATTTGCAGGCAATTTTAAGTAGCACCCCTTTAACGCACAATATGGCGACAGGACAACGTAGATATCACACAATAAGAGCGCTTTATGATCGGCCTCCGGCTTTGGGTACTTTGGGTATCATGGTTAGGTACAGAACCGTCCAAAAGTGTTGACATGACCTGACCTCAAATTGAACTTGGTCAATAAACGTGCACAAGTACATTTTAGTATGTAGCAGGCATCTTGAATTAACCATTTAGGCTTCATTTAGATTCAGCATAGCTGCGCATTAAAAATTAACACGCGCTCGGGTGGGGGTCAGATTGCCCCCCAAAGATTTTCCAGAATGGCTTCAAAGTGGCGCGGCGTAGCCGCGCCAAATTGTACATAACTGTAGACAATTAAACGGCGGATCGTTTGATACAAAAAAGATGTTCCTTGCTAGGTTGCTGCCCTATGGCAGGTCAAAGTCAGGCCATGGTTTAAGCGAAGGCAATTTCTAGGGAATCGTTCAATTTAATGCAACAAAGGCGTCTTTGACGCAGCCATACATCTCTGATATGCTTTCTTAGCCAGCACAAATATTGAATGAACAAATTACGTTGACCTAAGGTCAGGTATGAAGGTCATCCCAAGATTAAAACCAGCTTGTTTTATTACTCTAGGGTTTGCTGTATTGGATAGTTTCTGTTGCTCATTTAGAATTTATTGATAGCAGAAACCGCATTTCACATCTTCCATTGACTTGTCAGAGGTCAAAATAGGTCAATGACCTGAGATAACCCAGGTTGACATTTTGTTTTTAGGAACATACTGCCTAGCGCAATCTTTTTCGCTTATTCAAATGCAAAACTCAGAGCAGTCTCGCATGATTTTGGTCACCATGATCTTCAAAAGGTCAAACAAGGTCACTGACATTAAATGACCTTGCGACCTTTTGCTTAGAAACAGACATCTAGGTTCTGGGGGTTCGGAGACCGTCCCGGAATTTTACGTTGTTTGACCTTATTCAACCTGAAGGTTACGACCTAGGAACCTCAAACTTTGACCTAAGTGAGTTCACGTGCAGGTCAATACACCTGGTAAATTTGGTGTATCTAGCCTTCTTAGCTCCCGAGATCTCAGCGGGGTCAGTTTAACCCCTCCCCCCCATCCGAGCGAATGTATCAAGCCGGCCGCCCGGGCGTGTGTTAATGAAAGGAGATCGCAAAATCGTGGTATTCCACCGGATCTTTACGTTACCAATAACATACGGATCACCATGCTTACATGTGCTGAGTTAGCATGATTCAGAGGTATCAATTTCCGTTTGGATCAGCCTGATTCGTTCATCGGCTTCGGAATTACGCATTGGAGGCAATCTCCTTACAACCACAAAATGGAATGACAACCGAAAAAAGCCTGGTTATCAGGTGGGGTGTCTGAGCATTCGGCTGTTGTTATCAGCCCTGCCCACCGACAAATTGCACAAGCGGGTTTCCAGAGGAGCTACAGATCACACGGAGTCAAAATAGCAGGGAAAGTCACGCCCACGGTAAATCCCAAAATAAACAGTGATGCCCGCAAAGGGGCATCATAGAAAGCGGCGCACATCCAGGTAACGATGAGACTCGATGGATGATGAGTCACAGCACACACGATCAGGTTCGCGGTGGATCAGCAAAGAGTTCAGTTCATAGTAGGGCTCATGATGTTTTTAAAATATTCCATCTGAATATTTTGAATGGATGTATGTCTGGGATCAGAGCGCACGCTAAGCAGTGCTTTTTGTGTGAGCCCTAACTCCTACCATCCGATCGCGTAATTCCAGGTGAACTGATGTGTGAAGGGGGAGTCTGACCACCGATAGATTTGATAATAAGCGAGTGGCGAGTTTAATTCATGATGGTATTCGTGATAAGTGGAAAGGTTTCCAAAACTCCAGCGCGCAGCCCAGCCAGGCCGGGACAGATTGAATTCGCTCCCAGAGCCTGGCGCGGAGTTCGACTCACGAGGTCCTCACGTGAAGATGCCGTTCAACTTACGATGGGGTTCATGATGAGCGGAATGCGGTCGGTGGCGAGCACCAGGCCGGTGGAGTAGACGATGTACGGCACGTGGCAGAGCAGGAAGCAGGCCAGCACCAGGAACAAGGTGACGGCGATGCGCTGCTGCTGCAGCAGCCGCCGACGCTCCGCCATGTTCGACGTGTCACGCATCCTGGGCGCGACACAGGCAGCTCTTAGCGGGGGGAGTGACATGTCTTGAGCACGACACAGGCAGCTCTCAGCCGGGGAATGACATGTCTTGAGCACGACACAGGCAGCTCTCAGCCGGGGGAGTGACATGCCTTGAGCACGACACAGGCAGCTCTCAGCTGGGGGAGTGACATGTCTTGAGCGCGACACAGACAGCTCCCAGCCGGGGGAGTGATGTGTCTTGAGCACGACACAGGCAGCTCTCAGCCGGGGGAGTGACATGTCTTGAGCACGACACAGGCAGCTCTCAGCGGGGGGAATTACGTGTCTTGAGCACGACACAGGCAGCTCTCAGCCGGGGGAGTGACATGTCTTGAGCACGACACAGGCAGCTCTCAGCGGGGGGAATAACGTGTCTTGAGCACGACACAGGCAGCTCTCAGCGGGGGGAGTGACATGTCTTGAGCACGACATAGGCAGCTCTCAGCCGGGGAGTGACATGTCTTGAGCACGACACACAGCTCTCAGCGGGGGAATAACATGTCTTGAGCACGACACAGGCAGCTCTCAGCGGGGGGAGTGAATGTCTTGAGCACGACACAGGCAGCTCTCAGCGGGGGAGTGACATGTCTTGAGCACGACACAGGCAGCTCTCAGCGGGGGATGACATGTCTTGAGCACGACACAGGCAGCTCTCAGCGGGGGGAGTGACATGTCTTGAGCACGACACAGGCAGCTCTCAGCTGGGGGAGTGACATGTCTTGAGCACGACACAGGCAGCTCTTAGCGGGGGGGATAAACGTGTCTTGAGCACGACACAGGCAGCTCTCAGCGGGGGGGAATAATGTGTCTTGAGCAAGACACAGGCAGCTCTCAGCTGGGGGAGTGACATGTATTGAGCGCGACACAGGCAGCTCTCAGCGGGGGGAGTGACGTGTATTGAGCATGACGTGGACGCCTCTCAGAGCGAGAAGTGACACCAGCCATCCTGTCAGCTGTAGCGGAGTATTGCCAACAGGTGAAGCTATGCGCAGCTCGCGGTGATGTTTACAAAGCCTGGCGCGCATACATCCCCAGGATGGAGCTGTGGCGAATGAGTAGATGATGAAGTAGAGCAGGGGTTATGCAGTGACACAGCATTCAAAAAGCAGTGAAAGGTGGTAGAGACGGAATATCACAAAACCTGATGACATTTTCCTTTTTTCTTAAACGAATATTCACTTAACGAGTTTTTGGTGTTCTCTGAAGCTATCCAATGTCCAAATGGCCAAGCGACTTCACGCTCAAAATTATAATTTCCTATCGAATGCGCGCGATGCTTCAAGCCCCGGCGCGCGCATCCCAGTCCTGATCCCGTCTGGTCTCGAGCTGTTAAGCCTCGATTACATCAAGGTGATCCTAGTGTGACCTCTGGACAGATGTGAGCAAACCAGTGTCACTGGACGACGTCGCCCCGTTTCGCCCAGGAGAAAGTGATCGCGTCGTAAAACCAGATTCGGAGACGAGAATTTCGTTACCGATCTGATATCACTTCTCTGGCGGATTGCATAGTAAAATATAGTGATGCCTGTAGTGAAATGCAGGCCTTTTAAGCGAGCCTGTATTCTCGTCATTTACACTGAATACGAACATGGCTGGCAAAAGTTAAAATGAGAATCAAGAACAAGTAAACAACTTTGTAACCGTCAACACAGGAAGGGTTGAATGTCGTAAAAAAGATAATGCCAGCACGCTCTCTCTCCCTCTCCCTCTTTCTCTCTGCCTCCGACCTTTCAACTGCCTAAATATAGCATGGAACCCGGGGCCGTGTTTTATCAGAATAAACTAAATATTTGAGAGGGCAGCATACCTGCCGAGATGGTCTCGAATCTTGAGGAAGATCCTGGTGTAGCAGAAGAACATGACGATGAGCGGAAGGAAGAAGTTAACCGTGCTGTTGACCGCACTGTGGACGAGCTGCTTGGTGTTGTGCGGAATCTCCGGACCGCACTGGGTCGCTCCGGCCTTATATACTGCAGAGAAGGACACCGACTTTACGCTGACACCGAATCACCGAACACCGGCTCCATAGGATGCAGGAGCTGCCGCGTTTCACAACACCGATTACCCATGTCACCGGGCAGGACATTGGCGTGCTTCTGCCAGCGTCGCGACTCTGCCAGCGTCACCAAACTTGCCGCGACCGATACAACGCAATCCGCACGCAGATAAGCCGTGGTAATGGCCTTATTCCTCGGAGAAAAAAAAACAGGAGAATGGACATATAGATGCATTAACATTTCCGGCCGCATGTCTTTATCGAAAGGAAAGCAGAAGTAAATATAAACGAATGGCAGAGTGACCCAAACAAGTACTAACTGCTGCTAATCGTTTCGATAAAGGCATGTTGCCGAAATATCAGCGCATTCATATCTCCACTCTTCTGGTTTTTCTCCGCGGAATAAGGCTGTTGCTACTGTCTTATCTATGTGCATAATTTTTTCCGCAAATGCACTTACAACTTATGCAAGCTGCACGCAGTGTATGGGATTCGAACACAGGCCTCTTCACACAAAATGATCAGGCGACCGAGGTGCCGCTCGCGCCTCACCTCTTGACACCGAGCGCACGTAACCGGGGCAATCTTCGCGCAGCTCATGACAACTTACGCACAGAATAATTGGTCATTCAGCAGTCCAAGTCTCACCTGTGTGGGTGAGTTCCAGCTGGGGCGTCAGGTTGTACAGAATGGACCAGAGCCAGCCGGCAGCGATGAGGATCAGGATCTTCCTCCGCGTCATGAAGCGGCTGAAGGGCCTTGTCATGCTGATGTACTTGTGGATGCTGCAGCGCAAGGTTAGTCTCTTCAGCGGAATAAACCTTGCTCGGAGGACAAGCATACGCGGCGTCGATAGTTAAGGAAACAGAGTTCAAAGGGCCGCATTACGCACACCTAGCCCGAATGTGCTCATAAACTGACTGGGCTGGGCATAAACTGGGCCTATGGCCGTTTTGTAGGCACATGACAGGCTGTGTTGACGTTCATTTCATAGCCTTACGGATTCAGATTTCAAGTCCATTTATCTGTTTACATTGTCCTCGACTGTACTAAGCAGGCATAAATGCGGACAGCCGCCTTTATGACACAAACAAGCACCCAAAAAGCACACACAAAGAGCACACAAAAACACACAAAACATTACACCAGCCTGATGCCACTGGACGGCACTATCGGCTGTCCAGTCATCGACCAGAGGACCAGACGACAGCAGCACCATTATCAGCACAGCCGCCATTCATGTCGTGGAGTCAACAGGCAGACGCCCGCGGCATGAGTCTTCACAACGAAGCCACTTACGCGGCCTCCGCCTTTCCGTCCGGGACACATGGCCCGTTTGTTTCCCGAAATAGCCGACAGGCGGCGTGCCTGCGCAACGGCGGCGTTTCCGTTCCGGGAGCCGGGCGAAGGCGGTCGCGGGCCGCGACCCAGGGAGGGGGACCGGCTGCACGCAGCCGGTCGGCACACGCCACGATGGCGCGTCGCTGTCCTCATCACGTGATGACCGAGTGTTGGACGTTACGAGCGAGCCGGCGCGACAACCGCCAGAGCCACAATTAGACGGGTCTAATCAGACGAGGGCAGGCGAGCGATAGACGGGTCCCTATCGCCGCCGACTGGTCCACCGCCGCTGAGCGCGTCTTTAGGCGCCGCTGCGGACCGGTCTGCCAACGCTGACGGGTCTGTAGGCGTCACTGCGGACCGGTCTGCCACCGCTGACGGGTCTGTTCGAACGCAGACGGGTCTGCTGCCACTGAGGCGCCTGGCCGTGCGCCATGGATGACGTCATTACGCGTCATCTATAGACGCGTTAAAAATTCATCGCCTCCCCTGCCATGCTTCAGTTTCATAGTTTGTTTATTTGCATTCAGGGAAGGCCTGTCCTTCTGGTTCTTACTTAAACACAGCGGGACATTAACTCGCAATGCTCGTTTTTCCCGTGTCCGTACGAATACGGGAACGGCCGAAGAGTGAAGAGCGCGATGCACCAAAGATTGAGTTTGTGGCTATCTGCGTGCACGATACCGTTCGGCATGCTGGGGGTCCACTGTGGCATGCCAAGGAGGCGTAACTGATGCAGTGAGGTCGGTGTTTACCCCAACAGCGTGCTCCCCCTCCCCCATAGACGCAACCGTGTCTTACAAGTTTTTTATGGTCCGTTTCTGTTTTGGTGCCATTTCTTTACGGCCACAGCACAAAAATGGTCCAGCCTACACGAAAGCCACTGTGACCAGGACGCACCGGCCTCATTGGTAGTTACGCTCCAAGGCTCCCTTGATTACAGTCGGCGCCGGCTCACTGCAGCCGCCGGAGGCCGACCGGCGGCGCTCGTTTGCCCGCCAGACGTGCGGGCCCGTGCTGGCCGCCATCTGGCCAGCCCGGGTATTGCGCGGTCCAGTCCGGGTGCCGTGAGCGCGCCTTAGACCGTACTACGGGGCGTGCTAAGAGTGGGTGGGGCCCAAGAAAGATTTTAGCATGCGGAACGCCCAGAGAGGTGGCCCGACGCAAGACCCCAGTGCCCAAATTTAGTCGAAATTTCTTTTGAGAAAGAGGACACGGCACGCTCGCTTTCCGTAGCTCCTTGGGTCAGGCCATGACGTGCAGGTTGGTGACTGATACCTTAGCATGATTCAGTCCATTTGATCCAGTTCGTACGTCCGATCACGTTCGTATATTATGGCTGTTTTCTGACGGCGGGTCGTGGAGGAGATCCGGGCCCGGGTGCTCAACTGGGCAGCTGCCAGCTGATGTATGCGATATGCTGCAGCTGCCAGCTGATGTATGCGATATGTTCGCAACGCCAGTTTGGTATCACTCGCGCAGCTTATGCCTCTGATGGTCCTGGCTGTTAACAGCATCGTGGCGTACTCGTTTATTCTTCCTCCTGGGCAGCCGCCCGCCATTCCGCCTGCGTTATCTGCCACCGGTTACGCCTTGAACCACACGCACATGAACAACTTGAAATGCTAGCGGAACTCCATCACGCTCTTCATGCTACATGCTGGCTACATTGCACAATGGCCTGTCTCATTGTGCAACGTTCGGAGATAGGGGCTGGCAGGAAACGGACGTCGTTTGCTGCATGCTCCGCTATCGCTGCGCGCACTGAAATGAGACCGAGTGGATGGCGCATTCATCGGAAGTCTGACCATCCGGTGTCTTACGAGGACGATAAAGTGAGCATGGCTTGCCCCGTCTCTCTTGCATTTGGTCGCAATTTGCAGATTAATAGTCATCAAGGCTCGCCGATAAATATAGTTTTGCATGCCTCGAAAGTTGCAGCACTTGCAGGCTTCTCACTTATATGTTGCTTTTTCTCCCATTTTTCACTGCCAATGCTACGTCATTTACACAAGGTTTTGGCGTTGATATGGGCCCTTTGAAAAGCAGATATTGTTACGCAAAGCGACTAAGGAATTACTTGAATCCATTTCTGACCGGTGGGCCGAGAAATGTATAAAAGCATGTCCATCGAGCTACATATGTTGGGGTTTGATAGCTTTATCTTGCCAAGTCGTATTTTCGTTTATTTTTAAAACACTGTTTTTTCCAAGCACCGAGGGAAAGCAACATTTATTCAAGCCAGAGCCACCTGTGCTTTCTATGACTGAACTCTGTTTCTGTGCGCTGGCTAACCACTGCTCTCATGCACTGGCCGAGCTCAGCTTCAAGAACCTAGCTGCATCTGAAACCTAAGCAGAGAGAGAATATTTACTACGGCACGCACCGTGATAACCAGCTGCATCTAAGATCTCACCAGATGAGCAGCCTTTACCTATAATGTCATCCCACATGCATTACGTGTTCAGCTTTGTTTTTCCCCACGTTTCACTATCGTGAAGACATCGCCTCCGACCACTCACTCAGGCGGATTCCACCGCCGAAATTTTGACGTCGACCTGTCACCACATCAGTTTGGGGTCACTCTATTGAACTTAAACGAGAGAAACGGGCGTCGTTTATCGAGTCATCTGGCCCGAGCTGTCCATCACACGGTCTTTTTCCTCAGATATTTCGCCACGCCAGGCCGTACCACATATAGCGAAACGTTTTTGTTCAGTCATCTGTGCTGCCATCGGGTCGCAGTGTGGCGGCAGCTGCCCAACGAGACGAACCCGGGTGAGCTGGCTGAGCTGTCTAAACGACGCTCCGTTAAAGGACCAGGCTCCAGCTTTGACTTAGTTGACTTTGAAGTTCGCCGACATTTTTACAGCTGGGCGGTTGTTTTGCCTCGGAGCATTTGCATGACAGCACACTTGGTATCGTAAAGATGCCTTACTTAAAGATACCCCGTTCACTTGCTGAGACGTTGACATAATTTGGACGGAAGTAAGTGCCTAAATGTGTTAGAGCCTGGGCAGTGTGACTCGGTGCGTCAAATGGAAAGAAGAACGACGTGCACGTGACATAAGCATGATGCAATTTTCATCGAAAGACAAAAGCATCCATGTGGTATGTAAGCCTCTTGACACGGGAGCAAAGATGTTGACACGGGAGCAAGAAAGATGATGATCATACCACCAGCTCTCACGCAATCTCAGTCGACACTCGTGCGATGCACACAACCAAAAACAGCATTTTGTTCCTCACGCACCCGGGTAGCCGGTTAAATGCGGCATGGTCTGCTGGAGGTCAATTTGATGCTCTGGGGGCTGAAAAATTTAGAAAGCATAAGACACCAAATTCAGAGGCAGGCCTATAAGTAAGCACATTTCTGTGATATTTTAGGGTCCTTAGATCGTGACCTTAGTGTCAGAAGGACTAAACAAGGTCAAACTCCAGATCGGTTTGCAAAGTGCCATCAGACCTCTTCACACCGTCATCTTGTACATATATGTTTCTTATAAGAAAAATATAAATGTGTTCATAGCACATCTGTTACCTTCTGTGGCCTTTATAATGTAAAATCGACTGGGCACGATCAAAAATTATTTCAGTTTTTGAAAGTACAGTTGGTGTTAAGCACTACCGCTCACGGCATCCTCCTCACTGCAAAAGTTCCACTGCATTCATTTCAAGTCAGTGACTTTCCCTGACTTTTATAAAGCTGAAATCGATCTTTTGATGTCCTTGTGTTCCCAGAGCTCGAAATGAGCGTCCAAAACACCACATAAAGCAGGCTGTCCGGTTATGAAATTGTCTGTTTTTTACCTTGATCTGACCTTAATACCTTACCCAGGATCAACAGAATCAGTTCTGATCCTTATTTCAATTGTCTATTTGTATAAGAAACCATATCAGAGGCGACTGACTTCATGTTACACTCAGATGTTGCATCATATTAAACGTTTCTCTTGGAGTTTTCTTCGCCAACAGCCATGACCTAACTTACGCGCTATAGGCCAGCGATCTTACGAGCTATATCTGTTTTGCTTCGTCGAAAGATTGGCTTTTCAATTACCGACAGCCAGACGAAGCGCCGTTGGTGTAGTGGTGCTATGCAAGATACCCGTTCTTGCGACCCGGGTTTTCTTTTTCACCGGTTTTGTCGGAGGCCAAGCAGTTCGAAGATTATTATGGAAAAGTCCTAACGTCAAATACCCCCCCCCCCCCGCAACCGAGTGCATGTTACGAAACACTCGCAGCAAGGATTGCGTTGCAAATCAGTGCAAGCTGGAATTTCTTCAAACGGAACATCTCTCTGCGTGAGACAATTTGGACGAGGCACCTCCTCTGCGTGGATAATCTAAACGTGACGTATGTTCGGCCGCCCTCTGCTGACATGGTCTTCTGAGGATCATCGCGCACCATATTGCCTCTCATGTGTTCCTTCGTCGACCTGGTC